TCTTCGTCCTCAGCAACCTGTTCGTCGGACACATGTCCCTCGGGCTCAACTTAGGGCACGGGCTGTGTTTGCTATTTGGTCACCTGCTCGTCCTTCGACTTTTTCGATATGGATGGTGCCGATACTGATGCCAATTTGTGCACTGCAAACATCTCCTTAGCTGTATGTTGCTCTCCATATACTGCTCTGACTCCATCCTTTGTTGGGAACTTCATCATCTGATGGAGGGTCGATGACACTGCCCTCATGCTATGGATCCACGGCCTTCCAAGCAAAGCATTATACATCATGTCACCTTCGATGACATGAAATTTGTTGTCTTGTATGGTTCCAGCCATGTTGACTGGGAGGATGATTTCTCCCTTTGTTGTTTCACTTGCCATGTTAAAGTCGTTCAAGACTTGAGATACCGATATGATTTGATCAAGTAGCCCGAAATGCTCCACGACCCTTGACTGGATTATATTTGCCGAACTACCTGGATCCACGAGAACACGTTTAACTTGGACTTTATTTAAAAGGATAGAAATTACCAGTGCATCGTTGTGAGGCTGAGATAAGACCTCGACGTCTTCCTTGCTGAATGTGAGGGTGTCCTCAGGCATGTAATCCTGAGTCCGTTTCTCCCTTGTGATGGATACTTTGGTACGCTTGAATATAAGCCCCTATGGTACGTCAACTCCACCGATGATCATGCGAATGACATGTTGAGGTTCTTCAGGTTCATTCTTCCTGCCTGCATCTCTCTCCCTGAAATGATTCTTAGCCCGATCACTTAGGAATTCTCGAAGGTGGCCCTCATTGAATAACCTAGCCACTTCTTCCCTTAACTGCCTGCAATCTTTGGTCCTGTGCCCATGAGTATCATGATATTTGCACTTTAAGTTGGGGTTTCTCTGAGAAGGATCGGTTTGTATATGCTTGGGCCATCTAGTATCTCTAATTTTGCCAATGGCTGAGACGATCCCTGAGGCATTGACGTTGAAGTTGTACTCCGATAATCTGGGCGCCTCTGCCGGTCCCAAGTGCCTATCAAACCTGGTTTTGCTCATGAGTCCCCAGGAACTTTAACCTCGATATGCTCTTCGATAATTCCGAGGATGTTATGCTTAGACATATTCCTTCGATCCTCGATGTATGGCTGATATCTTTCCTTATTCGATCTTGTCCCCTTGTCTGCACTTCCTGACTCCCTTGCTAGTAATGTGTTAGGATAAATTGAGCCCCAAAGGGCTCTCAGCTGGTCATCCTCGACCCTAATCTTTGATTGGTACCTGTTATGCACATCCGCCCAAGTCACGGCGGGATACTCGACCAAGTTCTTCTTCAGCTGCTTCGAAGCTATTGAACTTCATTCATTCAGTCCCTGAGTGAAAGCTTGTATGGCCCAGTCACCGGAGACTGGCGTTAACTCCATTCGTTCTAATTGGAAACGAGATACAAACTCCCTCAGCATCTCGTTCTCCCTTTGCTTTATCTTGAATACGTCGGATTTCCTTGTTGTAACTTTTATGGAACCAACATGTGCCTTCACAAACGAGTCTACCAGCATGGCAAACGAATCGATAGAGTTCGGGGGTAGGTTATGGTACCAAATCATGGAACCTTTAGACAAAGTTTTCCCAAACTTTTTTAGCAAAGCTGATTCGATCTCATCGACTTCCAAATCATTCCTTTTTATGCCACAAGTGTATGTGGTAATATGCTCGTTGGGATCAGTGGTTCCATTGTATTTCGGGATATCAGGCATCCGAAACTTCTTCGGGATGGGATTTGTAGCCGTACTCTGGGGGAATGGTTTTTGCACGAACTTCTTTGAGTCCAGTCCTTTTAAAATCGGAGGTGCTCCCGATATTTGGTCGACCCTTGAGTTGTATGTTTCCACTTTTTTGTCATTTTCTTCAATCTTCTTTTCTCCAGTCTCTATCCTTTTGGCGATCTACTCGAGCATTTTCATAATAGCTGGGTCAGTCCCCGAGCCATTTCATCGGGCCTTGTTGATTCTACACGTCGAGTGTTCACTGGTTTGGCTGTGTTAGGAGTTCTGTTCTGACTTTGAAGCTGAGCGATGGCGACTTGCTAAGCTTGCAGCATCTCGAATATCACTTGGAGGCTGACTACTCCTTCTTCCGTCCCTCGCTTTTCTTGACCTCCTGATCGGGCTTCCCTGTGTGTGTTCCTTGCGGGGTTTGTGCATGCGTCCGTGTTTAGAGCGTTGTGCGAACTGATATCAACTGGCTCCACGTTTGGCACTCCCTCAGGGTTTATGTGTGTTACACCGAAACCTATACCGTTGTTTTCTCCAAGACCTTCGTCCTCGTGAATAGACGCATTCTATATGCTAGACATGTTTAAGCCTGAAATCAAAGAATCTTTGACAAGAAAAAGTGTAAAGAATAATGTGTGTTTTCAGAAAACTAGCACTAGAACAATCACTATTATCTTTAGCCCCAGGGTGGGCGCCAAACTGTTTACCTCGAAAAATGGGGGTAACAATTAAATGTAATTTGTGGTTTTAAAGATATGTGATTCATTCTAATACTAGTGAATATTCAAGTAGTATCAAGTTTAAGCAAGAAAAATTGATGAACCAAACCAGAGTTGCTGTAACAACAAAGACCTCGAGCTCGACTTTCTTGGGGCCCTCGAGGTCAGCTAAGAGCAATGAAGTATGAATAATAAAGTAAAAATAATAAAGCTGAAGAACACTTGTTGAGCACGTTAAGCAAGAAAAGCAGAGAAGAATATTCTATTGCTATGAATAATCTGAGATGGGTCTTACAAAATGATTGGGGTTCCCTGTATATAGGAGGATAAAACTCCAATATAGTACATTCTTAATTGTAGTAAGGAATTCTATTGGTACAGGTGTACAACAGCCTAGTAAAGGACCTGTACCATTTCGTACAAATCTTATCCTTTAATTTATTCTCTGACCCACGTGTACTTGAGAAATTCCCGCTCTTTCTTGATTGCCCCAGAGAATGTACTGCCCTCGATGCGCCAGGTCTTCGATCTGCTTCTCCGAGGTACGTGTCCTCCGACCGGGTCCGACCTCTACCTCGAGTCACCCGGACTTGGATTCATTGCCCAATTTAAGACTTTGAAATCGGGCTCCTTAATTTTGACCGTATACATTAGTATTTTTGATTCCGAGAATTAATACACTCATTAAACCTAATTAATGGTCCCACAACTTTCCACTTTTACTACTTGGTGTCGCTAGGGTATCAGATTGGATTAGGATCTTGAAATAAAATTTAGTAGCATACCTGATGCCGTATGCCAAAGAGAGAGACACCAAAAAAAGGAAAAAGACAAAAAAGAGAGGGACATTTAGTTGTTAAAGATCTTATCGATTATATATAATATACCTAATCAGTAGAGATGTCCAACACCTCAATTAATTAACTCTTACACATATCTATATTATATTAAAAGGAGGGCAGTATGCAATGTGGTTAAGCCAAGTGACAAGCTATTAATTAGCCACTTGACAATTTTAGGACAAGATAAATAGATAAGGTAATAAATAAGTTCTAGCAAAAGCTCTTAATATTTAGGAGTTGGATTTGTTTAAGATTCTTTAAATCAAATCCCTTAATTTATGGGATGTTCTAATAGATAATCATGAACTTTCATTTAATTTATCATTCATATTATTTACTCATTGTTATTTGATCATAAATAAATAGGACTTAAATGAGTAAATAACAATGAGTAAATAATAAAGTAGAAAGTTAATAAAAAATCACATGAAAACGTGATAATATTACATATTAGGTAATGTTATAGCAAAAGTAAAAAAACAATTAAATTTCAAAAAAAAACTATATAAAAAATAAAAGGAAAAGACTATTTGAAATTGAGATTAGAAAGTTCTTAAAGTTATGACGAGAACGCTCAAAATACGGATATGACCACAAAATTAAAGTCTTGCTAGATAAAGAAAAATTAAAATTTGAGACTAAATTAAAAATTTAAATATACTAAATAAATATCTCATGTACGGAATTTCACTAATGAAAATTAAAAGCCAAATTTGTATCTTGAAACTACAACAGAAAATAAAATAAATGCACGTAATACAAAAATATTTATAAAAAAATTCAATAGATTTGAAACATTATAAAAGAACTTATGTATTAATTTTTAGACTAACTCAAATTATATTTTAAAATAAAATATGATATTATTTTGATTATAGGCACAATATCTAAGTAAAAAGCGAATTAAAATTTCTTAATAGGGAAAAGAATGCATAAAGAGGAAAATAGAGATAGTGCGAGGATACTTATATTTTAAATTTATTAAAAAATTAATTAATTAAATTATTCAATAACACTCAAAATATAATAAATAATTTAAATCATAAAAGAGATCCGAATAAGAGAATAATAGTGTAAAAATATATTAAATTTCAAGAATAATTTTTTTATATTTATTAATAATTATTAAAGGGATAATAAGCAAGACATTAAGTTAATTTATAAGCTAATAAAAGATGATATTATAGTATAACAATAGTAAGTACTATAAATAATGCAAAAGCTATGAGCAAGAAACAAAAAAGAGAAATAATTCTGTCTAAAAATGTAGAAGGATAAGACTTATTTAAATTTGAGATGAAAAATAAAGTGATAATAAGAATTTTACTAAAATAATATAATTTAATATGTTCAAATAACACAAATCACAATATTACATATTTAGTATTCTTTAATATTAACCGTAAAATATAATACAAGTGTCAAAATCAAGGGGTTGGGTTATTACGGATATATAAAAAGAAAACAAATTATCCACTATGAGATTTGAAAAATAGTTCCATGTCCTACTTTTTAATTAATAATAATTATTATTTATAATTTTTATATAGAAGGTTTAATTTTAAGGTTATTTGTACATAATTTAAATAACACAAATCATAATTTGACATGGTTTGTATCCGCGTATTGCGCGGGTACTAATACTAGTAGTACCTTAAAAGGACTAGAGTATTACATAATAGAAGCATTCACTTCATCTGAATCTTCTGCAAAGCAATCCATGTAAGGATATAAATCACAACGTTCCAGAGAATTAACAATAGGGGCAAAAGCTCTATGTTTCTGATCATCGATCATGTCAAGGGATAATCCCCATTCCTTAAGTTTCTTATCATCGTGATGAAATGCTAGGCTGTGTTCTCCTCCCTGCCCTAATTGCAGCACTTGAAATTCACAAGTTCTCATCCTGTTAAGATCCTCAAACTGCTCAATAGTCCACTCGAACCATTTCATTAGGAAAATACGACTGCTCAGTCCATGTGTAACAATGATGATGTTGGTCTCTTGAGATGGATCATCACAAAACTTCTTCATTTCGATGTCTCTCTTTAAGCATTCAACAAAACCTGCACATTATTGTATGCGTGGTCCAGTGGTTAATAAAATAGGTGAAAATCATGAGGTTTTCAGGTTCAAATTTCAGCGGAGACAAAAACACTAGGTGATTACTTCCAATTACCTGATATCTTGTGCTGGTGAGAGGTGACAGATATCCCATAAATTAATCGAAATGTGTTATTTGTAGCTTGAATTATTTCCTTGTATTTTTAGGAAACTCATAGTCTCTGTAGGTTTAGGAAACTCGTTGTCCCAAATAGATTTGGGAAAGGAAAACATATAGTCATTGTCAAATTGGGAAACCTTTCTCATATATGTTTGAGACCTTTTGGGATCTATATATAGGGGTTGTAGTTGGAGATTCTATAGATTGTATTGTGTTTTTCTTCTCATTCATAGTGGAAAACTCTCTCTGCTTTTGCCCCGAGGATTAGGCTTGGCCGAACCTCGTTAAATCCTTGTGTTGACTTGTCTTCTCTATTTGCTTTGTGTGTGATTGTGTGCTAGTTAACCCACGATATTCCGCAACAATTGGTATCAGAGCAAGGTTTGAATTTCTACATATAATTTAGGGTTAAGATGTCTTCACCATCTTCAACAAAGTACAAAGTAGAGAAATTTGATGGAGGTTCTAGTTTCAGTCTTTGGAAGATTAGGATGAAATCGTCCCTGGTGTTACAAGGGTTATGGAAAGCAATTGATGAGGATTTTCCTGAAGATATGAAAGAGACAAAGAAGGAAGACCTGAAGGAGAGGGCTTTGAGTGCGATTTTCATGAGCGTTACAGATAGCGTTCTTCGGGAAATTGCTGAAGAAACTTTTGCAGCAACGACATGGAAGAAGCTGGAAGATCTGTATTCTAAAAAATCATGACAAACTGCATCTACCTGAAAAAGAGGTTATACAATCTCCGTATGAACGAAGGTACACCTGTTAAAACTCACCTTGATGAGTTTAATTCAATTATAATGGACCTGAAGAATGTGGATATCAAAATTGAGAGTGAGGATCAGGCCTTGATTGTGTTGTGTTCTTTACCACAGTTTTATGATACTTTTGTCGATACACTGCTATATGAGAAAGATAGCATTTCACTAGAAGATGTTAGTAATGCACTAAAATCTAAAGAGATGAAAAAGAGCTTTCCAGACAACAGAATTGAGGGCGAGAGTCTTGTGATTAGAGGAAGAACACAACAAAAGGACTTTAATAGGAAAAAGTCAACCGCAAGATCAAAGTCTAGAGCAAGGAAGCAAAACTATTATGAGTGCGGGGAGCAAGGTCACTACAAGAGAGATTAAGCTGAAGGAGAAACGAGGGAAGCAAAAAATAGATAATTCGACAAATATTATTGACACTGGAAATAATTCTGATGATAGTGATTATGTAGGGGAAGTTTGTGTTGTGAGTTCTAGTCATGGGCAAAATTCTTAGGTTCTTGATTCTGGTGCTACTTTCCACATGTGTCCACACAGGAATTGGTTTGCAACTTACAAACAAATGAGTGGGACTGTCTATATGGGAGATGATAATCTATTACCAGTAGAGGGGGTGGTAACATCAAATTGAGAATGTTCGACGGAATTATCAGAAACATTGAGTGTTGGCATTTTCCTCGGATAAAGAGAAATTTGATTTCTCGACTTTGGATGATCAAAGGTATAAATTTCACCCCGAGAATGGAATACTTAAAGTGTGTAAAGGCTCCATGGTACTCATGAAGGGTAAACTACATTCTAAATTGTATCATCTTTAGGCCAGTGTAGTTGAAGGGGAAGCTGTTGTAGCTTCTGGAAAAAGTAAACTGAATCAGTCTCAATTGTGGCACTTGCAACTTGGCCATATGAGTGATAATGGATTGTCTTTGTTGAGTAAGCAGAATTTGCTGAAAATCAAGTTTTGAATTTTTGTGAGCATGTGTATTTGGTAAACAGACAAGGGTAAAGTTCATCAAGAAGGCCGAGCACAAGACCAGAGACAAGTTAGATTATATACACTCTGACTTGTGGGGTCCAAACAGAATTCCCTCTAAGAGTGGTGCCAGGTATTTTATGACTTTGATTGATGATTACTCAAGGATGGTGTGGGTGTATTTTCTGAAAACAAAAGATGAGGCATTTTCGATATTTGTTAAATGGAAGACGATGGTTGAGAGGCAGACATAAAGAAATGTTAAGCGTCTTCGAACTGACAATGGGTTGGAATTTTGCAATTCTGAGTTCGATAATTTCTGTAGCAGGCAGGGCATAGTGAGACACCGCACTTGTGTCGTAACACCACAACAAAATGGTGTTGCAGAACGTATGAATAGAGCGCTTTGTGATAGGGCAAGAAGCATGCTTTCACACTCATGTGTTAGCAAAGATTTTTGGGCTGAAGCAATCAATACAACTTGTTATTTGGTTAATAGATCTTCATCCACAACTATTAAGTTCAAAACTCCTTTTGAGGTATGGTCCGATTCGCCTGTTGATTATTCAAATTTAAGGATATTTGGTTGTCCTGCTTATGCTCATGTGAGGGATGGAAAACTTGAGCCGAGGGCAAAGAAGTGCATATTTCTAGGGTATGCAATTGGAGTGAAAGGTTATAAGTTGTGGTGCACAGATCAAAAGACTCCAGGGCTAATTATCAGTAGGGATGTAACATTCAATGAATCTGTCTCACAGGACAGTTAGAGGGAGAAGGCAATAGCAGAAACAGATCGTGGTGTTAGTGACCACATAGAGCTAGAAATTGAATCTCCACTAGCTCAACCCAGTAGTTCTAAAGTAGAGGAAGTAGAGGAGGTGCAAAATATTGATCAAGACAATAATGTTGATGAACCTACGCAACAACCCTATATCATTGCAACAGGCAGAGGGAAGAGAGTGATAAATCCACCACAAAGGTTTGCAAACGTAGCTGATGGTAATTTTCTTGGATATGCTAATTTTGTGGAGTTCGCTTTGTCTGTTGCAGAGACCATTGATGTGCTTGAGCCTAATAGCTATAAAGAAGCTATTTCTAGTCCAGAAGCAGATCAGTGGATTGGTGATATGAGTGAAGAGATTGAGTCTCTTCATAAGAATCAGACATGGAAGCTTGTTCCATTGCCAAAGGGGACAGAAGGTACTAGGCTGCAAATGGATTTTCAAAAGAAAAGAGGGCAATCCAGGGGTTGAAGCATCAAGGTACAAGGCAAGATTAGTAGCTAAAGGTTTTTCACAGAGGGAGAGGATAGATCATAATGAAGTGTTCTCTCCAGTGGTAAAGCATAGCTCTATCAGGGTCTTACTAGCTTTGGTGGCTCTTCATGACTTAGAACTAGAGCAGTTAGATGTGAAAACTTCATTCTTGCATGGTGAGTTGGATGAGCAGATATATATAAGTCAACTCGAGGGATTCATTACTCAGGATAAGAAAAATCATGTTTGCTTGCTTAAGAAATCTTTATATGGTCTGAAATAGTTGCCTAGGCAGTGGTATAAAAGATTTGATACATTCATGATTCAAAATGCATTTTCTCAAAGTGAATATGATAATTGTGTGTATTACAAAAAACTTGAAAACGATTCTAGTGTATATTTATTGTTATATATGGATGACATGCTTATTACTGTTAAAAGTATGTCACATATTACCCGATTGAAGAAGCAACTAGGTGAGGAGTTTGAGATGAAGGATTTAAGTGCTGCAAAGAAGATATTGGGGATGGAGATTACTCGAGATAGAAGGGTTGGAAAGGTGATGTTGTCCCAACGGTCCTATATTGAGAAGGTCCTCAAGAGATTTAATATGATAGGTGCTAAATCTGTGTCCATTCATTTTGCTTCCCATTTCAAGTTGTCTGCAGACATGTCACCAAAAATAGACGAGGAGATGGAACAAATGTCTAGTGTTCCATATTCGAGTGCTGTAGGCAGCATTATATATGCTATGGTTTGCACTCGCCTTGACATTTCACATGTTTTTAGTGTTGTGAGTAGATACATGGCGTGTCCTGGTAAAGAACATTGGCATGCGGTAAAGTGGATCTTGAGATACTTGAAGGGTACTGCAGATGTAGGCTTGACTTTTTACAAAGACAAGTTGAGTGAATCCTTAGTTGGCTATGTCGATTCAGATTATGCAGGGGACTTGGATAAGAGAAGATCTCTGACAGGCTATGTTTTTATTCTTTCTGGTAGTGTCATCAGTTGGAAGGAGACTTTGCAGTCTGTCGTTGCTTTTTCTACCATAGAAACTGAGTATATGACAATTACGGAAGCAGTTAAAGAGGCTATTTGGCTGCAAGGCTTGGTAAGTGATCTTGGAATAGTTCAGAAGAAGACACAAGTTTTTTGTGACAGTCAAAGTGCCATTCATCTTACTAAGAATTAGATGTTTCATGAGCGGACGAAACATATTGAAGTCAGACATCAATTTATTCGAGACATTATATCAAAGGGGATTATTAAAGTGGAGAAAGTGTCTACGCATGATAATCCGGCTGATATGATGACTAAGGCCGTCCTGACCAACAAGTTTACGCATTGCCTAGACTTGATTGGTGTGTGCTCAATAGAGACCTTGCGAGGGCTGAAGGCAAGGTAGAGAGACGTTGTTCCTGTTGATGAAGAGAATTCAAGCCAAGGGGAAGATTTGTTATTTGTGGCTTGAACTATTTCCTTGTATTTTTAGGAAACTCATAGTACCTATAGGTTTAGGAAAATCCATTGTCCTAATAGATTTGGGAAAGGAAAACCTATAGTCCTTGTCAAATTGGGAAACTTTTCTCATATATGTTTGGGACCTTTTTGGATCTATATATAGGGGTTGTAGTTGGAGATTCTATAGATTGTATTGTGCTTTTCTTCTCATTCATAGTGGAAAACTCTCTCTGCTTTTGCCCCGAGGATTAGGCTTGGCCGAACCTCGTTAAATCCATGTATTGATTTTTCTTCTCTATTTGCTTTGTGTGTGATTGTGTGCTAATTAACCCACGATATTCCGCAACAAAATGCGTACAAGCTAGCCTTTGTTGTGTCATGTATTTATTAGGTTGGTGTTCATTTCCTCAATAATACGAGCGAATAATTAGAAATAAAAGAAAAAATAGGCTCTTTTGGGCAAACCATATACAATTTGATGTAGGACGGGAAAATGTTCTTGACCATATTCAAACGATCTATCGAAAGTAGAAGTATAATGTTCAGTAAATCAGTAAGATTGCTACACTACTCATCTACTCAGTGAAGCTTCCTCAAGGGTTATATGGACTGAGACAACACGGTATTTAAAAGGGATAATATATAGGAACCCCTTGAACTACCCCTTAAACATTTACAATTCTAATCATTAGACCCTTTTCAGTTTTTTTTGGTGCCTGACGTGGGTTCATGAAAATAGAGCGCGTGAGGGCTCTAAAATTCTTCCTTAAACTAATGCAATATTGTCACGTGGCCTTTCCAACCTTGACTCAGTAAGTATTTGCTCCATAAAACACCTTTCTTCTCAAATAGACTCACTCCCTCAACTCATACGAGTTTTTTCATCAAAATCAGCTTCCATCAGTATGACCCCACCTACATATTTTAGTGGAGGACCAAACTCAACTTTCCCCCTATGCCACCATCTCAATGTTACAGCAAGTGTTACTGGCTAGAAAATCGAACTCCCGCGATCCCCTTTTTCTGTGAAGAACCTTTTTCCTGATCTTCTATCCCTCTGTCATCTTTGTCACACCTTCTTTTTACCTATACCCCGCAAAGGGCATGAAGAAGTTTTTCTATTTAAAGGACAATCGGAACGGGATTTAATTATTAATTATTTAGAGTCGCCACTTGGGAGATTAATGGTGTCCCAAGTCACCGGTTGAATCCCGAACCGAGGAAATTTATGACTCTGTTAACAGTCCGCGAACCAGAAATCAGGGTAAGGAATTCTGTTAACCCGGGAGAAGGTGTTAGGCATTCCCGAGCTCCGTGGTAATAGCACGGTCGCTTAACTGTTGTATTTGATTTTATCTGATTTTAATACACGTTCTAGCTTATGTGCTTTTTAATTTTAAGCCGCTTTTATTATTATTATTTTTTTTTTAATAAGAATTGCAACATTGTGAAAAAGTGTCTCGGACCACGTCGCAATCAATGCACCCGTGATTGTCAACACATTTCGACTTCGTCGAGATTTGGATTTGGGTCGCATCAATGCGCACCCGAGTTTAAGAAGGTAATTTAATTAAAACCGCGCCTAAAGATTCTGACGTAATATTATTTTGGGGAAGGCCGTGAAGTTCGCTAAATGGCACTCCCAAATTCTAATCATTTTAATAATCATTTATTGAGGGCCCCACATTTATTTATTTTTGTTCGGTGATGCTCGTCTCGATTTGTGAACCTCTTTTCTATCATTATTTATTTTATAAGAATTACGATGTCGTGAAAACGCATTTCGAACCACGTCGCAATCAATGCACCCGCGGTTGTCAACACATTTCGACTTCGTCGATGTTTGGATTCGGGTCACATAAATGCACACCCAAGTTTTAGAATTCAAGCATCACAACTACGTCACGGGAACCGTACCCATAGCTATGATAATTAAGCAAATGGACATAAAATTAACTAAAGTAAATAAAACTTGTTTCATACTTATGTACAACTTCGTTTCATTTGGGAGCTCAGTCATATGACAATTCAACTTGTTACTTCTCCGCCTGATGCCATAGGCATTTACAGAGAATGGGATATAACTATGTATTATAAGCGATACAAATAAGTAACATAAGATGAAATAAACGAAAAGGTCGATACTCTGCACTACAAAAGATATTACTGTCAAACTTGGTTAAGCGCTTGAAAGCCACAAGGTTCAATGCAAACGAAAATGGGCACTAAGCCAACGTACAAAAGTATCTATTATGAAGGAAACTTGCGAACCTAACAGGACAATTGATTTCCTTTAACTCCAACATGGTATTTTCACCAATGACAAAATGACAGCTTTAACTTTTTTTATTCTTGTCAAAATGAAAGTATTCTCAATGCTCCACACTCATGCATATATCTAGTGTATTAAGATGTACGCTATGTATGGACTGCGTATTTACAACTCCACTATTTGGGCAAACCAAAAGAATGTCAATTGAAACTTCCTTATGCCAAGACCTCTGCCTTTAAAACAAGCTCTAGTTCCTCTGTTACGACATAATTTCAACACATCAAACCCATATCTTATACTATCAACAAACTATATTTTTCGAACATATTACTACTAATTATCTTTTTTTTCAACTAACACCCAAGAGAGACGAAACCAAATCATATATATTTAAAAAAAAAATATTTTCTCAGACAGATATGCGAAATTTTCAACACTTAAGATCTAAAGATTGCATCAGGGAGAAAACGACCATGCAATTGCATATTCATACTGAGGCTAATTCAAACAAATAAATCCAAACATTTCATGCAACAGAGAATGACAAAGTTGACGGAAGTACACTATTAAGCACAACAGAGTACGAGAAATTGAGGAACCAAACCTCAAAAGTGAATCAGAATATTAATGGCGAGGTAGCGCTGAACTCAAAAATGCGATGAACCATGGACGAACCTCGACGCACCGGACCTCGACGGACCTCTGACCGGAAACAGAATTACGTCTAGGCCTCTAGCTCGCCGGAACTGCGACAACATGCAACAACAACAGTAGCTGCTCGTGGGTGTCGCTGCTTAGGATTCGATAGGGGGTCTTCGACACTCTTTTTTTTGATTTTTTGTTGAGGAAGGTGTTGGTTAAGGTGAGGGCTGAAGTTCAGTAGTCGTTTGGGTGGGGGGATGTGAAGGAGACGATCCGAGGGGTGGGTCGTTCTGCGCGCAGCTTTTCTTAGCTTTCTTTTTCCTTTATGCGCAGCTTTTGCTGTTTCTTTTTGTCGTTCTCCTCCCTCTCTATTTGTGCTGATCCCCCCTTTAGTTTTAGGCTTTGTTTAATATATATAGGTCTAGGTTAGTGGTAGGGGTTTAGGTTAAGGGGTATGGGCCTAGGAATTATGGGCTTGGCAATTGTGGGCTAGGTCCAATATTAGGCCTAAAGATGGGTTGCTTGAGCCTAAGCTCTATTCTTTTGCCGCGAATGAGATTAAAAATATGCGCCCATTTGTTAATTATTACTACTATTTAAATAATTACTACAATAAAACTAACCATTAAACAAATCTATTTTTGGTATTTTCAGAATATCATATTAAAATAAAAATACGATACTATTGTTGTATATATTTTTAAGATTTTTTTTTTAATTAAAAATGACTACAAAACATAAATGAACCTATTTTGTGATTTTGTTTTCTTGCAATAAAATAGAGTAAAAGAGTCAAAATTACTTAAAATATCTATATTCTGCCTAAATTAAATATTTTATGCTAATATATAAAAGATCTTGGGGAGGGTCAAAAATTACATGTCTACAGCTGCCCCTCTTTGACTGGAAACGTACAGAGTTTTCAGATAAAGACTGATTAGACAGGTTTTTGACCCGACCCTTATTTGGAGAGACTATGATAACAACTAGGTCGGGAATCCAAATTAGAGTAAGAATTTGAGAAGTAAATGCGGAAACAATAACAACAAGGAATTGAACAACTAGAATTAAAGAGATGAAAATAAAGGATATGGGACGAATTCAAGGAAAGAATTCCAAGAACTTCCAAGAACGTAAGTTCTATAGCCTTGACAAGATCAAAGTAACAACGTCTTGATTTATGGAAGAAATCAAACGCCTTTACTTAAAAAGCAAATCAAAACAATAGATTCGGATCTTGACCACTTTACGAGTAACTTGAGACAACAATT